ATTTTAATAGATGCTATTTCCTAGATAAATAGAGGATAGTAGGGACAAGAGAACTAAAATGCTCATCTTTCTATGTGTCAAATGTACAACAGGACAGCTGACAATGGCTCCTGCCTGGAATCATAGTTACTCACAAGGTTGAAATCTGAAGATCTCAGTTCAAAGCCAGCCCTGGCAGAAAAGTTCATGAGACTCTGATCTCTAATTAATCACCAGGAAACAGGAAGTAGCACTATGGCTCAAAGTGGTAGTGCTGGCCTTGAGTGGAAAAAGCTCAGGAATAGCACTCAGGCTGAGTTCAAGCCTGTCACGACTGACAAAAAAAAATGTGTGGTGTATTATGTACAAGTCAGTTCCTTTATCTACCCACATTAAAGGTAGGCATGTGATTATGTTAACATCTTTTAGATTCAATCCTCTGGAAAAGGTTGCCTGCCCTTCCATTAAATTTTCTACAATATGAGCAATTCTGGATGGTAAAGATGTTCCAAAATTTACCATGCTGCCATGGATTCCAAACAAACAAATAAAGATCTATTAGAAAGACTACAAGAATATGTCTTCATATTAAAGGTACTTTGATTTTGGATTTTTTTTCCTACACAGAACAGTTATTTTGATGCTTAAACCTTTTTCCTCCTGTACATTACAAATAGTATTTTCCAATGACTTGTATTCCTAAATACCTAACTTTATTAGGTAAGAATACATTTAGTCCAATTAGTACATGTCCACCAGGAAGAAAATAAGTTTGTACACCTTTCTAAAAGCCACTAACAATTTCAGTAATACCTTGTAGGGCATTTCAAAGAGTAAAATTTCCAAGATTAAAAAAAAATTTTGTTAGGGCTGGGAAGGTGGCTCAGTGGTAGAAGAGCGCTTGCCTTGCATGTATGAGGCCCTGGGTTTGATTCCTCAGCACCACATAAACAAAAAGAAAAAAAAGTCGGAAGTGGCTCAAGTGGTAGAGCGCTAGCCTTGAGCTGAAGAGCTGAGGGACAGTGCCCAGGCCCAGAGTTCAGGCTCCACAACCGGACCAAAAAAAAAAAATTGTTAGCTCATTTTTGTGACAAGGACCATTGTGTACACTGTACACAGCTTCTCTATTTTTGGTTTATAACAATTTGTTTTTGAGCATGCTTTACTTCTGCTTATCCTGTTGATTTTTTGAGCTTCTATTGGGATTTTAGCTGCTGTGGCTGGTATTCAGATCCTGACTAGGGGCTACCTTCACAGCAACACAGCAAAAGAAAATGAAGTTCGGAAATTTGTCTCAGCACCACTTCACCAAGTTACCACTCCCTTCTATAACATGCCTATCTTGGTCTATTTGACAGAGTCCTTGGATAGTTCTTTTTTGTGTTCTGACCAGTTTTCAAATGTAACTATAGACAAGTTACAATAGATTACACCTCATAAACTGGAAGCACCACTACTGCATACTAAGAATTTGACAGCACTGAAGTTCCTTAAAAATACAACTTTTGCTAGGCACCAATGGCTCACACCTATAATCCTAGCTACTCAGGAGGCTGAGATCTGAGGATCAAGGTTCAAAGCCAACCAAAGTAGGAAAGTAGTTGAGGCTCTTATCTCCAATTAACCAGCAAAAAGCCAGAAATAGAACTGTGGCTCAAGTGGTAGAGCAAGAACCTTGAGCATGAAAAGCTGAGGGGTTGGGTAGTGTGCATGCCTTGCATGCATGAGGCCCTGGGTTCCATTCCTCAGCACCACATAAGCAGAAAAAGCCAGAAGTAGTGCTGTGGCTCAAGTAGCAGAGTGCTAGCCTTGAGCTGAAGAGCTGAGGGACAGCACCCAGGCCCAAAGTTCAGGCCCTACAACCGACAAAAAAATAAAAAGCTGAGGGGTTGTATTAAGGCCCTGAGTTCAAGCCCCAGTACTGACACAAAATAAAATTTAAACTTAAAAAAAAAAAAGCACAAAACTTCGGAGCTGTAGATAAAGAGTCCAGTGATAGAATAGTTGCCTATCTATGTTCAAGGCTCTGCGTTCAATTCGAGAGAGAGAAAGAGAGAGAGAGAGAGAGGGAGAGAGAGAGAAAAAAAAACGTGCCAAAATGTAACCTAGGAGCCAGGGGCCAATAGGTTACACCTGTAATCCTAGCTACTCAAGAGGCTAAGATCTGGAGGATCTGCCTAAGCAGAAAAGCCCACTAGAACCCATCTCCAAAATAACCAGGAACAAAAAGGAAATATTGGGTACCTGTGAAAAAAATTACTATTTATATCACTATTCAATAACAAGGTAACAGTTGATATTTACATGTTTGGTTATATTAAAAGTATCTCTTTGCTAGAGGTGGCAGAAGATAGTGCAGCAAATGCAACTAAATACTTTTTCTATATCGTTTCATATTCTTAAAGGATGAGGTTCATGTTTCAGCTTCCACAACGTATTTAATAGGGTCTACTTAGTATGCTACCTATCTATCTATCTATAGACATATATGTACATTTATATATACACACACACATAAATAGATAGTACAACTATACACACAGATAGATAGACAGACAGACAGACTGACTGACTGACTGACTGAGTGGATCAACTGGCCAATTAATGTTACTGACTGATTTTTGTAGAAATCAATGGGAAAGGGGACTAGCCCCCTACAATTTCAATTAATTTTGCAAAATCCAGAATCCTATCTAAGACCACTTCCACCCAGCTCTAGTTATCTCTGATCCTGTTAAATGGCATGATGCATTATTGCCCAATTCGGACAAGGTTCCATTAATTTTATGGTGTTGCAGGGTCACCAAAGGCACCATGTTAGTTATATGGTCTAACTCAAACTATTCCTACAAGATGATGAGAGAAGAACTTAGTTGCTACTACCAGAAGGAACAAAAACTTCACCTCTCAGGAAAAAAAATGAAGGCCAAAAAAGATCATATTAGAAATACACATAAGTGTACATGTGTATACATGCAAACACATAAAGAGTTCTCCCAAACCATTATGTTCTGACCTAATAAAGATTGCTCATATGGCATAAAGAAAGAGAACTGAACTAATTAATGTCATCAATGTGTCCTTACTGAATCTAAACTAATTAGGGCTTCTCTGGCTTAAAAAGCAAAACTTGAGGAGTTAAACTATTAATATACATGAAAGTTATGCATGGAGTAGGCCCTAGATACTCAGATTAATCAAAACTCCAAATCTTCAAGCTAAACTAAACTATTGTTTGGAAACTTAAATTTGAAACAAATAAAATGAACCACTATGTTATATAGTAAACATTAGACAACATAGAGTTGCAAAAAAGAAAAGCTCAGTAAATAAGTTTTGCATTGCAGCTAGACAACCATAATGATGAATTCCAGAACATCAGTGACATGTGTATGTCTACAATCTCTCCTGCATCAATAAAAATAGCATCTATGTATATAACTTTTTCCATTATATCATGGGTATTATTCAATATTGCTTTTCTTTAAAATAACCTTATTAATATTTATTTAAAAACCTGAGGAGTCTCAGACGATTTATTAAACAAAACATTAAAAAAGAAGTTGAACATCAGTGGCTCATACCAATATTCCTAGCTACCTGAGAGGCTGAGAACAAAAGGATCAAGGTTTAAGATCAGTATAGGCAGAAAAGTTCATAAGGTCCTTTCTCAGTTCATAGCTAAGCACAGTGGCATGTGCCTCCCATCCCTAGCTACAGACAATCAGAAGGATTATGGAGCCAGGCCAACCCCAGGCAGAAAAGTCTGCAAGACTCCAATCTCTATGGAAAGAAGCTGGGTAGAGTAGCACACACCTATAATCCCAATGGGAAGCATAGACAGATCATGACTCAGGTGTGTGCCTGGGTGGAAAGTGAGATCTTATCTCAAAAGTAACCAGAAAAAAAACAAGGCTGGGAGCATTACTCAGCAGTATTGTGCCAGTCTATCCACACTGAGAACCGGAGTACAAACTCCCCAGTACCTCCACCCAAAAAAAACCCCGGCATTGATTCTTCATTTCTACTGTTTCATTGGAACATTAGGTTCAATATATTACATTTGCAATAATATCTGAAAAGCCATAAATGCTTTATTTTTAGGCTCATAAGTTTTGTAAATATAAATTCAAGTGGCAAATAACCTTAAAAAGTTATTGCCTTACTTGATAAAGTGGTATTTTTAATTCTTGAATTGTGATGAAGACCAAAGGTACCAGAGAATTCCTTAATGTACATTAACTGTTGTATGGGAATTCAATTGCGAAATACAGAGAAGCCATATTTGGGGAGGGTGAATTAGAAGTCTTTAGTAGAAAGCAGACAACTGTGAGCGGACACATGTCCCCCAAAAAACTTGCAGCCTCAAATGCACTTAGTTGGAAACTACTGGGCCAAGAGGGTAGTGAAGAAAGAGCAGAAAAACTATCTCAACAAACTAGATCAATTCTAATAGAGAGTTGAAGAGGGTAACCTGAGGCGAGTCAGGAGACACCAGGCTTGGTGCAATCACAGCTGTGGTGGTGGGGCCTAAATAGGATCATGGTCAGGGGGCAGGATCACAGTGAGCTCCAAAGTTCAGAGTTCATACAAGTCTGCCAGGTCCAGGAACCTATTGTCCAAGTCCCAGCCCTTGCTTCTAGGAATTCAGGCACACCTATCACCTGGGTATGGGGGTAGAATTTCACCACTAAGAGTTTTCAGAAAGTCCCTATCATCCACCAAGATGCTAAGATAGCCCGTGTTAGAACCAGTATTCATATTTCAAACACATGTAAAGAATTGCCTTAAATTGCTACATTAAAAGCCCAGGCTCAAAGACAGACAGATTATCTGACATTATCACTTCCTTGTTGCTGCATAACTGAAAAGGATATACCATAGTAGGTGTTTTCTGCTTATCTGTTTCCTGAATTAGCAGTGTAGCACTACCAGAGATATTAAGTCTTACCATGAAAAAAGATACCTGGTAAAACACTGCCATATAGAAAAAAGAATTAAAACATAGCAAGTATACATACTCCTTCTGGAAAGCCATGCACATGGGAGAACCAAATCCAAAGACCAGGCACATCTGGGCATCTGGGCTATAGCCATTCTGGAGTAGTATTTCTAAGCACCGTTCATGTCCTCCAAACACAGCTGAGTAAACAGGGCTCACTTTGTCTGGCCCAGTGTCACAGATCCGGTTAGTAAGTGGTATTAACAAGTCCAAGATTCTATAAATACACAAATGCAGGAGCATTTAATATTTCCCTATTATATACATGGGTTCAGGCAATATTTCTACTATATATCCATAGATTGACTTAATGAAATCTTTCTGTCTTATTATATCTTCTAGCTCCATTATATTATTACATGCTGCATGGTTACTACAAAATATTATACTTATTGTTAACAAATACAAAGGTCCTTAAATATACCTGAAAAAGAATTAACTAATATTCCTATAAGCAAATAATTTCCATTTTTTTATTTCTTTACTAATTTTGTCTATTTACCTTAGTATCACCACTTATGCCCCAAAATTTTTCACATTTGATATTTCAAAATCTATTAAATTACTTAAATATTTATTATTCCAAATATAAACTGGTATCAAGCCAATGAAATATTGTGGGTGAAGGAAGATTTTTGGTTGGGACTGGGAGGACGGGGATGGGGGGGAGGGGAGGGGGATGCATGCCTGTCCTGAGGCTTTAACTCAGAGCCTGAGCACTGACTGAGTTTTTCTGCTCAAGGCTAGCACTTTACTATGTCAGCCACAGCTCCACTTTTTTTTAGTAATTTATTGGAGATAGGAGTCTCATAGACTTTCTTGTCCAGGCTAGCTTTGAATGTGATCCTCAGTTCTCATCCTACTCAATAGTTAAGGATTACAAGCATTAACAACACCTAGCTTCCAATTAGTTTTGTTTGTCCAATTATTAAGATTTTTTTGGGGGGGGTCCGTTCGTGGGGCCTGAGCTCTGGGCTTGGGCGCTGTCCCTCAGCTCTTCAGCTCAAGGCAAGCGCTCTACCACTGAGCCACCTTCCCAGCCCCAATTAGTAAGAATTTTTAAAGATAGTAAATAATATAAAATGGTTAAGAAATAACGCTTTCATCAGAAAAAATAGAATTTCTGCTAAAATATTATATCCTTTGAAAAGAATATAAGCTCATTAAAATCTGAAGCAGATTTATAAACAAGCTACTTGCAGACACAGAAAATTCTAAAGAAAGTATGAAGCATTTAGACTATATAAACTTATTCCAGTAGTTAACTAGAGACTAAAAGGACAACTTACTTTTAAAACTGAAAATAGCCAGGCATAAGTGGTACATGCCTATAGTTCCAGCTACTCAGAAGGTGGAAGCACATGAATCAGGAGTTTGAGGCCAGCATTGGCAAAGTAGCAATATCCTACCTCAAAAATAAAAGAGCTTGGAGTATATTTCAAGTGGTACAGTGCTTGCCTTTTAGCACAAGCCTGAATTCAATCCTGAATATTTCAAAGTTTTTAAAATTTTTAATTTGGAAATTAAATGAGTAAGTAACCTAGGAAATTCCTTTCTACCTCAGTGTATCTTTATGACATTCTATTTCTCTTGTATGAGACTAAGAGGACAGGCAGTAAAGGAAAGCTCAGATGTACAAAAAGGGTTACCTTTAAAGTAGCTATGGAGGAAATCAGAGATGGGAAATAGAATTCTCAACACAAGTGAGGACAAATTCCTCAGTTTTGTTAATAATTTAAAATTCCAAGTATAATTATATCTAAGATGTATGTTTAAATAATCAAAAATTAAGAAAAATAGCCAGCACCAATGGCTCATGCCTGTAATCCTAGCTACTCAGGAGGCTGAAATCTGAGGATTGCGGTTCAAAGACAGCCCAGACAGGAAAATCCGTAAAACTCTTATCTCCAATTAATCATCAGAAAACCGCAAGTGGCACTGTGGCTCAAGTGGCAGAGCAGAGCGCAAGCCTTGAGCTGAAGAGCTCAGGGACAGTGCCCAGGCCCAGAGTTCAAGCACCTTGACTGACAAAAAAAAAAAAAAAAAATTTAAAAAAAATACCAAATTTTAAAACCTAAAATGTTTAAAATTAAGACTCTGTTTAGCACCTTTAAATTTAATAAATGTGTCTAAACTGTTTTTATGAGTTGGAAAAATTATATTCTCACAAGGCACAAACAGGATTATAAAAAGGACACAGTGAAATACCATGCCACCTTGTGGCATAATAACCAAATTGTAAACTGTTGACTACTATGTAAGCACATGAAATAATGGCTACTTAGCATTATTTCTTAAGCACTACCAAGAACTATAAGATATACTGTAGAACTATGGCCCTAAATATTGAAAACATATTATTTTAAAAACTGTTCAGTGTTTCAGTGTCAATTTATGTTCAGAGTCGTGTGTAACGTTAAGCCAAATGCAAATGTATTATCAATCTAAAAAATACAAATGATTTCCCAGGATTTTTGGCAAATCAAGAAGAGCAACAAAAGCTAGAAAAATAGCAGCTTTGACTTGAAACTAGAAAAAGTCCAGTCAAAAGGTTCAAGATGGGGAGCCATACTTAACACACAGAAAAAAAGATTTGCTTGGGGTTGGTGGCTCAAGCTTATAATCCTAGCTACTCATGAGGCTGAGATCTAAGAACTATGGTTCAAAGGCAGACCAGGCAGTTAAGACTATGAGACTCTTATCTCCAATTAATCACCAGAAAATTGGAAGTGAAGCTGTAGCTCAAAGTGGTAGAATGCTATCTCAGCAAAAAGAGCTCAGTGACAGCGCCCAGACCCTGAGGTTCAAGCCTCATGACCAACATCAAAAGGAATAGAAAAAAGAAGACTCCATTCCAAACAGGAATAAGAAACTCAAAAACGTTGTGCAGTCAGAAAGATGTGAAGATACAATAAAACTAGTGAGGAAAGGGAGAATATCATTAACTTAAGAAATCATAGGACAGATTCAATACCCCCAAGAACTCTCCTGAAGCCACTCTATCTCTAGCCCTCTGGCAGAAAAGGAAAATTTAAGACCTACAGGAGGTAAGGATAGCATGGAGAACAGACAAGAAATAGATCTAGCTACCTGGAGTAGATCTAGTTTTGCCTGGAGATGAAAGGTCTGGCCTAGATTTATTCCTTATTAGCTTTTAACTATGAGATCATTTTTATTCTGCCTTCAATACTTACTTTGAATGGCCCATTTGAGCAGCTGCATGAATCGGTAACTGCCAATTGTCTTCATTACAGTAAAGATCTGGATCTGCCCCACTGGACAGCAAAAGTTCCACACATTCTGAATGACCCTCTTGGGCAGCAATGAACAGTGGTGTAGCTTTGTCCAAGGCTTGACAATTGACATTTGCACCTAAAACAAAATAAAAAATATAACAGATAATGGTCATCTGTATAAAAGAAATAACAAATTTTAAGGCAACTGCCTTTAAAAACAAATGTTTCATTGTACAAGTTTCCCATCAATGAATGCTACTAAATAGAAATAACTTATTTTCTTTTTTTTTTTTTTTTGGGTCCGTTCATGGGGCCTGAACTCTGGGCCTGGGCGCTGTCCCTCAGCTCTTCAGCTCAAGGCTAGCACTCTACCACTTGAGCCACAACGCCACTTCCACCTTTTTTCTTTTTGCTTATGTGGTGCTGAGGAATCGAACCCAGGGCCTCAGGCATGCCAGGCAAGCGCTCTACCACTGAGCCATCTTCCCAGCCCTTATTTTCTAATTTGTTGGTAATTACTATTAGAAAGACACAACTGATCAAATTTTGGAATTCATTTTTAAATTAAAAACTCCTATTCAATCTATCATCCAACAAGCACTCTGCGGATCCAAAGTATACAAATGTTTAAAGAAAAAAAAATGAGCTATATATGGTGCTACATATCTGTAAACCTAGCAGTTGGAAGGTTAAGGAAGGAAGAACACAGAGACTACAGTACACACTAAATTCATTTAATCTGTCTGGCCTGCAGAGCAAGAGCCTGCCCTTCCCTCGCTCACTGGTCCCCCCTCCCCCCCCACACACAAAAGAATTAGTGCAAACTATCTAATACAGATAGCACTTTCACATTTCTGAGAATTATTTTAAAAAGCTATGTTACAAACGTTATAGATGTTACTAACTGATTCAGATTAAGATTTATGGAAAACTACCAGAAGATATAACATACAGGAGATCTATGCTTTAGCACTGCCTATACTCTGTTCCATCTCTTCTTCATGATTTCCATAATAAATAAAGTCCACAGAAAGGGGGCAAAAAGTACTTTAAATGGGTTTCTGGGTTGATTTTGAGGTCATGAATGTAATCAAGTTATCTAAATACAAATATATAAAGATGTAAAAGGCTGAATAACTGGGTGCTAATAACTCATACTGTAATCCTAGCTGCTGAGGAGGCGGAGATCAAGATTCCTGGTCTGAGGCCAGGTCTGGCAGAAAAGTCTATGAGACTCTTATTTCCAATTAGCCATCAAAAGCTGAAAGTGCCCAGGAACTAGTGATTCACAGTTAGATTCTCAGGAGGCTGAGATCTGAGGATTGCCATTCAAAAGCCAGCCGAGGCAGAAAATCTGTGATACTTTTTTTTTTAATTTTTATTTTTGATTGTTATTATAAAGGTGATCTACAGAGTGGTTACAGTTACCTAAGTCAGGTAATAAGTACATTTATTTTTTTGTCAGTCATGGGGCTTAAACTTTGGGCCTGAGTGCTGTCCCTCGGCTCTTCAGTTCAAGGCAAGTGCTCTACCACTTGAGCCAAAGTGAAACTTCGGTTTCCTGGTGGTTAAGTGGAGATAACAGTTTCACAGACTTCCTGCCCAAGTTAGTTCTGAACCATGATCCTCAGATCTCAGCCTCCTGAGTAGCCAGGATTACAGATGTGAGCCACTGGCACCTAGCATAGATAAACTTCTTTTTGGACAATGTCACCCTTCATCTATGAAACACTTTTCTCCAATTAACCACCTAAAAACAGAAAGTAGAGCTGGACTTAAGGTGATAGAGTACTAAACCTTAGGGTAGTGCCCAATCCCTGAGTTCAAGACCCACGACCACCACCAACAACAACAAAAAGCTGAAATTGGGATGTGGTGTAAGTAGAAAGGACCACAGTTCAGGGCCAGTGTGTGTGTGTGTGTGTGTGTGCGTGCGCGCGCGCGCACACACACACACACACACAAAGTCGAATAATAAAGGTTTATGTGACTCTTAGCCAACATTATACTAAATACTGAGAAACTAAAACTACTTCTTATAAAATCAGGAATAAGACAAGGATGCCCACTCTCTGAACTCCTGGAATTTCTAGCCAGAGCAAAAAGGCTAGAGAAAGGAATAAAAAGGTATTCAAAAAAGGAAGAAAACCTGAGCGCTCACACAGAGAGTCCAGGACGAAGGAGCCAGACGCAGCGGGCGCGCGGA